AATATTTCCAATTGGATTAAAACTGGGCAGGTTATTGCAGTTTTTGAATTAAATTAGAAAAAAAAATAGCTATTTAACTTTTCTTGCTAGATGGCATAGTGCATTATCATATTGAGAGATATAAACATTGTTTTGAAGCATGTTAATAGTGGAAGAAAACAGTTCTTTTCAAAAAATTAATGTATTGGGCAACATGCTTTTTTTATTTACAATGGGAAGTCGACCCATTCCATAGGCTGAGATAGAAGCCCTTATCGTAACTACAGTGGGATGCTTTTCTTTTGCTGTAGTACAGTATGATTTTTAAAATCTTCTTTCATGACGACATCGTACTAATGTGACGCCTATAAAACTTGTTGTTTTTATGGCAAGCACTAGCCATTTCAGGCTTTCGCCACTACTAAGGCCCGACGTGGTGGTATTTTACTTGGAGACACCTAATACAGTTACCGCCACAGTAACCTACTATGAGAGGACAGACAATTTGCATCCATGTCTTCTCCGGGATAAGAACCGAGGCCCTCCGGTATGGCAGTCGGCTCTCCTAACCACTATGCCGTCTAGGCGGCCCGCCTATAAAACTGGGTACCAAAGAAATTGTTTCGTGAATGTATATGACATTACATTACTGAATCTATATGATCTACATGATCATCGTACATAATCACGTGCATTCAAGGCAATGAAGCCGCTGACTTACTGGCCAAGCAGGCAGCCAACTGCACGGATTTTATTAGAACGACCAACTAAACTTTCTTGGTATCACATTAAACGAACAACTTTGACAAGTTTGCTGCAAAATTGGCAAAGTAGATGGACAGAGGCAGAGGTAGGACGAAGGACATATCGCTTACTGCCAAACATTAACATGGAAATAAGGACTCACTTTGATAGCCTAACACAATTCTTGACAGATCATGGACCGTTCACAGTATACCTCAACAGATTCAGATTTAGGGATACTTCTTTCTTCGAATGCGGAGAGGAAGGCGACACGGACCATTATTACTTTCTTTGTGTACATACAAGAACCTGGCATTTAAAGAAACCAGCAGACTGTACCTGGGCAGTGTGGACATCTAACACACTCAAAACCAGGGTAGCCCTTTGTGAAATAGAGGAAATCTCAAGACATCGTGTAAGCAGAAACAACCGTGAATAATATTATGTTTGAAATGTTAGAACTTAAAGCTGATAATCAGAATATTGCTTGGTGCCTGCAGTTATCAAGCTATAGCAACTGTATTATCAAGCTATAGCAATAATATTATGTTTGAAATGTTCAGAACTTAAAGCTGATAATCAGAATATTGCTTGGTGCCTGCAGTCAAGCTATAGCAACTGTTTATTAGTACGTAATGTTCAACTTTGTTACTTTGGGGTTTTCCCCGCCGTGATGGTATATAATTCCATTTGTTTCATGTTCCATGGTCGGAAGCCATCATAGCGGTGCACTCACTCACTCAGATAATCACGTGCCCATTGTCGTCGCTTCAGCCTTTTTTGTTGAGGGGTTACTTCACATGCTATTGAGCTTTTAAGACATTTTCATTCAGTCTTTGACTTACTATCCACCTAGAAACATCAAATGAGCAACGTATCTGCCCACATGTTTCGTTTCAATATTAACCAACTATCAAAACAATGTCTTAAAGATAAATAAATGAGACTTCGGGCATTTTGAATCCTACTTTTCTTTGGCCTTCTCTTTCTGTGCCGATTTTCTAAATTCTAGTAAATTAAAATTCTTAATACATCTACTAACTGTCTAATGACAATAGTAAGATTTCATAGCAGTCTTTAGCAGAATAGCAGTCATAGCAGAAATCTTTCTGTTACAAGCAGAATCTGGACATCAGAAAGAGCACAGTGGACTAAAAAGGTAGTTTGTTTTTTATTGATAAAAGGTTATATCCCACAATAAAAATATTTCGGAAGAACAAAACAGTTTTTCTGCTTTGTCAAATATTATGAAACAGCCAATAGTTTTGGGGTTACCATACAAAGGGGAAACTAGTTCTCCATTCCAATTGATGCTTGATGACAGGGAAATCGATGTTGGTAGATGATTGGTTGTTGATAACGAATAACTTACAAACGTTTTGGGAAACAAAGAAAAACTCGTGCGTCTTCCTTTCAGAAGTAAAGCAGGTAGAAAATTTGTTTGAAACAGTTGTTCGTCTGAAATAAATGGATGTGTGATACCAGCCCAACAGTGCTTTTTTAGTCTAGCTTCCTTTCATAACGTTATTAATAACGATATTATTTTAAAACTACAATGAATGTTGCTTCCTGCGTAAAATCTTTTTAAACTGCTGATGATTTATTAAATTTGTAATTGAAATTTATTTTGAAAACATGTTTATATTCTCATAATACATGACTTAAGAGGTGTTGCAAACCTTTATACTAAGCTGCATATGCAATGTTTTAACGTTGTAGAAGTATTAGTAGCGTTACGAATTATGTATAATGTAGAAAACCGAAGTTTTGGCGGAATAAAGGGGTAATTCTATTTAACATTGAGGTAAATGGCTATCTCATTAAACTGGCAAGATATCCCACCCTGCTGATGGTTTTGCAGACTAATATTTATCTCCAAATTTGGCAAGAAGTCATTAAAAGTCGCGAAACCTTACGACATTTTGTTCCAGTCTTCTGTATAACTGTAATTGGTACTGTAACTGAATAACTGTAATTGATCGCTATATGTAACTATAACCATATCCGTCCCTTATATGTGACTTTAACCATATATACCTTCTAGTAACTTCGAGAAATGAAAGGTAGGGAAAATATCTCGGCAGCCCTGATAAACTATCAAGGCTGGAGAAAGCATCAAAGCAAACTACAAGACCGGAGAAAGCATCTGTTCTCAATTTTTAGTTCAAAATACGCTTCAGAGAATTGGGAGATCTCCGTTTTTTGCTCTTTAGATTCGCTTCGAAGTGTTAACTACTCATTGTTTTCTGTCCTACGTTTCTTTTGAGAAAATGAATTTTATCAACCTATCACAGGTTCTGCGTGCATTCAATCCATTTTGAACCCGTTACGAGCCATTACGAACTGTAACAGTAGAAATGTAAATAATTTTTAGAAATATAATTAATAGATAAAGTGGGAAATCCTAAAGCGAGTTTTCATAAAATATGGCGAATTGAATCTCTGCTGGTTTCTTTTAAAAAAGAAAAGGAAGTATCGTTTAAACATGACGGAATTAATGGTTTCTTTGAACGCGGAATAGAACTATATACCTTCTGGAGTGCGACCAATATTTAACAAAACCTCAGATCTCATTACTTGTGCGTGCTCAGATAATTATTTCATATACGCATGTACGAGCTTATTATATTGCTGTATATTTAATGCCACCGAGAAAAGTAAAAAGGAAATCGAATTCCATGCTAGTAATGCGACAAAATTAAGGTATGAATTTAAGTAAATATCATTTTTACACTAGCAGAGTTAAAGTTGTGGGAAAGGCTCGAAATATGATACATTTCGAAATAAAATATTTATATTCAACTATCATATGCATGGATTAAATCGTGGTAATTTACATTAATTTTTACTCCCTTCCTGAATGCTTTATAAATTCGTTTTTGGAAAATGATTACGTGTTATGCAGTGTTTGAATAAAATATCTTAAGTTAGCATAATTTAGACTCTGTATTTTAAAAAGACGGTTCTTTCTTTTATGTATCCTTATATTAATGCTTTTCATAGTAAATCTTTCATAAGATTAGATAAATAATTCCACGGTGGGAAATATGCTTCATACTTCTTTCGAATCATGCTGACTGAACGTATTTAAAAGTACCATTTTAATTTCTTCGCATTAATAACAGTCTGTTTTAGTTACAAATTAGAAATAACAGTCTGCATAAGAGAAAAATATTTTAAATAATCCTGAGGTGGATTTCAGAATTAACCTAAATTAACTTATTAATCAAGATAATGCAACATATAGCACAGCCAATACTGATAAAGAAAAAGGTTTAATAATTTATAGCAAAGACAGATATCACAAAAACTGAGATAATGGGTTATATCTGTACTGCCTGAAATATACGTCACGACACATCTGAAATACTTCAGTAACCCGTGATTGAGCAGTTATCCAATTTGCACCATACTTTGGTCAAAACTTTTTTGTGACACTGGAAATAAATTTTATTACGTAGATCGGTTTTCTAGTTTGTGGATGTAGACTACTTAAAGACAGAATATAATGTAATCTTTTGTGTAATCCCAGAAGAAAATAAATGGATGGGTTTAAACAAGTGATTTCGATCATCGTTTCAGCAAATGTGTGTCACTTGTAGTTTTCATACTATCTAGAATGCTGTAAAATACTATCTAGAATGCTGTTATATTTTCAGGTGGCATAGACACAACTCAGGTTTAGTCATCTCTTTTTATAACGAATTATGTAAAGTGTTCTCGTCGTCTGAAAACACCATGTATATAAGTATAACACAGGTAACAATCAATTAACTAGGTTTATGTTACATCACAGTTTTTAGAAAGTAAGTAAATAGAAGTTCCGAAAAGTATCTATTCTGATCAGAAATTGCACAGTAAAAATTAAATGATAAGAAACGAGGTAAATATACTTTAAGAAAGGAATCGGAAACTATAAACTAAGATGCTCTTTTCTCAATTTGTATTTATCAAGTAATTTAATACTTCAATTCAGGTTCAATTACAAATAAAATTTGTTGAAATTTCACTCAATTCTGTTAACACTATAATATAAAAACATTTATTTAGTTAGCAGGAATAGTCAAGGAGCTACTATGTAGCTTTTCTAATTTAAGAACATTATTCCAGCTAATTAGCACTAAAGTATAGTCTGATTCTTTAAATATTGCTATTGATTTCTTAAAAAGCATAGATTTACTTTTATTTACTTTGAATTAAAATAACAGACTATTCTAAGTTGTTGCCAGATAATCAATTGTTTTAGGGATGAAATTTCATGCAACTGATTTGCTTACCATTTCGGAAGTAGCGGTTCCATTACCGACAGCTTCGTAATGGCTACCAACTGAAATAACTCCTTGAATGGCCATGGATAACTGGGTTTCGCTGCAGTCTGTATCAGATGTGTCTTCGAACCAGGATTCCGTAGAATCACCTAGTATAATCCATGCGTATTCCGCACCATGCATCCCAAGCTTATGAACCTGCAAAGCCATTTTATTCATGAGATGTAAGGGTTATCTAAAATCTGTGTATTTCTAATCAATGATAAGGGAATACTAGCCATAAAGTAATCGTTAGTTTATAGCATACTACTTCGCAATCAAATGTTTTATGAATTGGAAGGGAATTTGAAGACTACATCATAATGCAAACACGTAACAATGGGAAGAAAAAAACAGTTAAGATTTGCCCTTTGTAATAAGTATGTTACATATAATGAAAACAGTAATACCATTAATTACCTGATGATACATACATAGTCATTTATTCACATAAGTAAACAAAAACTCTTAATAGCTATATGTATTGAACAAATTAATTCAAATCGAATGCCTTTCACAAAAAAAAAAAAAAAAAAAAAAATCTACTACATACATGAGTAAAAGTATAAATGCTCGTAATTAACCTACATAAATAAAGGAATATATCAATTAAAGATTATAAAAATGCAATTAAATTTACTTGACTTTAAAGGAGTTAATATTTGTTTTTTAATAATATAGATTTTCTTCTTAGGATGTTTCGCTGATAAATCAGAAATTTTTGGAAGAAACTGTAACTAACTAAAAAGTTTTGTATGACACGAAAGAAGTATATTTTTGAAAATACACCGAAGAATTTTTGTTCACTTTCGCAGAAAGAAATTGGATATTTTTTTGTTTGACGAGTCTTCGGCAATTAAACATTGCTGGTAGTCAGTTTTTAGTTCATTATCCAGATAAATGTGCCTAATCTTCAAAATTATATGAGAACTGATATGAACACTAGTACAGAATTACCTAGCAACTACTTAAAGCGCTAGTATTAAAACATGTCCAAGTCAAATCAGAGCACTAAAATATCGATTAGCCTAAAATATCGATTGAAGTTAAAGCAACGGTGTTGTAAAGCATTTTCTGAACGAGCCACAATTCACAATAACTCGATAGTTTATTTTTGACTTCGGGTAGAACTGCTGCGGTAGATTTAAAAATGTATTAAGTAACTAAGAACTTTGATGGGATGGTCAGGAAAACTCTAGCTTGCTTTTACTTTGAGAGCAACTGTAGTATAGATTAGATGCCCGAATTTAATCGATAAGATGCCTTCTTTATGATTATAATATTTAAAATTACTTTCTTTAAAGGAGATTTGGTACTTTCTTGAAGTTTACAGCGGATTAAAATATTTATCAAACATAAATATCGATTTAGAGAGCAGCAAGCAAGCCCTTCGGGATTCGAATCTTCCTCGAACTATCCTGTGTTCAGCAGTCTTTCAATTATTACTGTCCTTATATGTACGAAAACACATTATTTTACTGAATTATTTTATAAAATATCTCAACTATGAACGGAGTTCGAATCCCGGTGAACAGAGCCAGTTTCCCATATAAAGTACTCTATATAAGCATCCTTCTTAACTATACAGCCCTAACTTGCTTTGCCATTCTCAAAGAAACAATAAAGCAGTTGTGCAAAGTTAAATGTCTGGATAAGCAATTAGTCTGGAAAGCAATTATTTACTCTTTAAAGCAACTAGATTTGTGTGCAGTTTGAATATTTTGTAAAGCAAACAAAAAAGGTGTGCAATGTTAACTGTCTGGCTAAGCAATTAGTCTGAAAAGCAATTATTTACTCTTTTAGAACAACTAAATTTTTGTGCAGTTTGAATATTTTATAAAACAAACAAAAAGCAGCCCTAACACAGAAAAGTAACACCTGGCATTTAGCATCCAGCATCCAGGCCTTCGAGTATGTTTTACTTCCTTATTTGTGTTTATCTTAAGTAGTCTGACGATTTAAATCCCCGTTTATTTTATTTGAAATGGATGTAGAATAATCATAGACTCAACGATTTGCTTCAATTTTTTTCCTTTCATAAGGAAGGTCTCAGGAACATTCTACAACATCTCACTAAGCTTACACATTCACTTACTTTCTGTGATACGATTGCTTGAAAAGAAAGTAACGAGCGAAATGGAGATTTGCTTCCCAGGATCTTTCTGAAGTTTTTTTTTTTGTTAGTAAATGAACTAGTGTGGTTTTTATAAAATTATAATAAAAAAAAATCTAAACAAATTAAAATTATAATAAAAAAACTAACTAACTAAATAAAAACTAATAAATGTTTAATAAAATCAAATAATAGATTATGCTTAAAACTGATAATGGTTTGCAAAAAATCCCTGCATGTCTTCACATGTTTTAAATTCTTGGATGACTGAAGAATAATTTTATGAAAGCAGGACATGTTCTGCAGAACCCAGATGCCTGATAATTCTGCACTCAATCTACATACTGGTCTCCGTTTTCCTCTATCAGTTTAAAAGGACGATTTAAAAAGACTTGCAGTCTTGCAGATTTCTTTGCTCCTTACAAAGAGGGACCTGTACCTGCTTGTCCTCGAAATGGATTGAAACCTTGACATAAATATAAATCTACGCCAAACTAATTAATTTTATGTTTCACTTAGCGTGTTTCTCTTCTGTTTTCGTTTATGAAAATTAAATTTTACAAATGAAAACCGAATGAAGCAGCAAAAAATGTGAAAAATAAATTTTGAGGAAAGACTTGGAAATAGCAATCTACGTATAATACCAACATGAAATTGTAGGTGTTTAGAGTGGCCTTAACAGTGCACTTACTTATTTAAACATCCACTCCTGAGAGTGTCACCATGTAATCACAGAAGGCGATGAACAAACACTATGGTTACATTGTCGGCCAGTGAAATATTAAATCTAAAGTGCGAGTCCTGGTTAAAACACTTATAATTACAAAAAATTCGTTATAATCATGTTTCAACCCTTGTTATTAAAAATGTAATCCCACATTCAGTATAATTAGATGGTTAATTAAAATAATAAAAGAAAAATTTTATGCTGTGAAAAGGATATCATCGTTCCCAAGGTACAAAGCTGAATATGGTGGGTTGTCGTCGTTGTTACAAAGAAATAAAAAACTAAAAAATTACAAAAATTGTTGCCAGAAAAGGAATTCGCAAAAAACATCTACGCACTTCCACTTTTCAAACACTTCTACCTCCCTTCTACTTCCGAGCAACTCAACACCATTCATCACGATTGGTGGCCATTTCCAGTCATGTCACTTGTGGCGTCACTTCCGTGATTTAAAAAATTAATTCTTTCTCTAATCTAATTTATTGAGTGGAATTCGAAACATCTCCACGTAAAACGTAAATACGAGTAAATTTTCCTTCGAAATTCTTCCAGGAAAAAATACCTTCCCTTATTGAAATGGGCCATCATATTCTGTGTCTTATTTATAGAAATAATACTTATAAGGGGGATCTGCAAATAAAATCTGAGATACTTTTAAATAAAAAATCAGCAAAGTGACAACCTTGTGTATGGGGTAGATTTTAATCAAGATTCTAAAATCTTATTTTTGTGTTCACCACATTTTCATGCTTGTCCCACTTTCAGAATATGTCAGCGGACGGGAACTGATTCTGTATGTTACGCCTTAAGCGTATGAAAATCTTCAACCCTCTCTATTTTTTGCTTAAATGTAAACATAAGGACATCATTCCCAAATTTATACAACTCAATTGTAGTCTGAAATGTTCTGTTTCGAAAACTATGCATAAATTCAAAGTGTCTCTTCTTCCGTAACATTATATGAAACATCCGTAAAAGATTTCCTCATTTGACCACAAATCTTGGTCTAGAAACAATCCTGCTTGTCAATGCCATAAAAAAGTCCTTGTTTCTAAATATCAAAAGCTCATACCTCTGTCGACTAGTGCCACCCATCTTGATAATCTTCCTAATGAAAATACGGATTCCATTGTTAATATCTCTAACGATAATCTTTCGGAGAATCAGATTTCAGCATTAAAATATAACTTCAACCTTTTAAAGATATCTAAACTTTCAATTCCTTAATACAAATCCATCGTCTCTAATGAAAAAATTTTAAAATTCTCTAAAATTTTTAAAACGCAGAGGATTCAGTTCGCCGCTTAATTACTCATAATATTTTTAAGTAGATGTCTTTGCTCCTGATGGAAAGGAACCTATACCTGTTTTCCCTCGAAATGGAAAGTCTTGACTAAAATATACGCGAAACACAAGGTTGTTGCTTTGCTAATTTTATGTTTTACTTTGCCATGTTTCTCGTATCTCTTCTATTTAAAAAATATCGTAATAATCTATATCCTAAATTTGTTAGAATTTTTATTAGTATGTATAAATAATAGATGAAAAAAGAGAGTTTAGAGTATGTCCAATTAACAAGCTCGATTTGAACAGTAAGCAAACTGCACTTGAAACTTTTCTCTTGGTCAGCTTGAGCAGTACTTGGTCCTAAAGTCCTAAAGGAAAATGTGCCAAATTAAAAATTTTCGTAAGTCCAGATAATAAAAGAAAAATTGCAGCTGAGAGCAATAAAGATAATGAAGACATTACTTGACGTTTTTTTCTTCTTTTTTCTATACAGAATTCTAATAAAATACCCACTGAAAGTTTAAATGTCGATTTGAAAATAAATTTTTATGGGATCGAAAAAATCAACAATAAAAAAATTCAAGAAATAATTCCACACCCTGATATTGATCGTAAAATCGAATCACGCAAATTTAAAGTTAATTTACTCCTTTGATTTACGGCAGCCTCAGTCGAAAAATATTCGCGGGACTTTTTCATGGTTGAATAAGTTTGATGAAACGTTTTTACATTATGTTTTAATGCGCTGTATTAGTTTATTTAAAACTTCCCTTACAGTGCAGGAATTGTTATTCCACTTGGGAAACGTCCAGTCTGTTGTTCCTTGTATAATGATTTCTAATTGTTGTATCACTAAGAAGCAGTTTTGTAATTTGTCTTTGAGAGCAAACTTCAAATATTTAAGTATTGATTAACTATGTTCTGAGATTAGGAAAGGAAAAAAAGGTGCATTACCTGGCAAAACACTTTTCGAAAAAGAGCAGATGAAAAGCTACAGATAATAATCCGGCAATCTTGATGCTGAAAGAGAGAAAAAATTAGTTTTTTTTAACGTTATACATACATTTGTATAACAATAGTTGGGGCAGGAACACAAGAATATTTTGTAGGAAAATAAGAAAGGCACGGTTGAGTTTATTTAACTATGGCAAAGCACGTGAAGGCTATCTACTAACGGAAAGGATGCCTTCGTAAGGGACCTTTTTAAGGGAAACTGTCTCGTATATATGTTACCTATAGAGAAAATAACAAAAATGTTCATGCAGCAAACCCATTCGCTTGGAATCGAACCCAGATAGAAACTACAAAGTTCAGCGACTTTCGTACCCACCAGTAGCCGAACGGTAAAGATAGGGTTTAAGATATTTTTCCAGTAATTTTCGTTTGTGGTTTGAGAATCATCTAGCTTTCTACATACGTGAAGATTATCAAGATCCAATTTAAGGCCACCCCAGTTAATAGCATTCGATATAGCGATTTCTTGTGGAAGTTTATAAACGCGCAAAATATGCGATGATTCATTATACACTGGTATTCAAAAACTTAATCAATAATGTAAATTTTAATCAGATAGCCATGAAATTTCAGAAAAGGGGTTCTTGCGATCAGTACAATGAACACAAAATTCAGTATAAAGGTCATGCATATGCAAACGTCAGGAACTAAACGTCACAGGCGATGTTAGCGTACGCAAAACACGTGCGTTTTTTTTTTTTTTTTTTTTAATCTTGCAATGGAATGTCTATGGCCTTTGTCAGCCTACCAAATTGCAAATTTTGAATACTGCTCTGTTGTGTGATATAATGATCCTTAGTAGCAAAAGTAACCCAGGACTACATTGACAGATTTTCTTTCCCTTGTCATTAGTTATACCTACGGTCCAAATCAATGAAGTTGCTACTAGAAGCCTTGTTGGTGTGAAAGAGAATCTAACTAATAACTTTTCTGTTACTAGTGATTATGTTATTAGTGAAAATAGTTCTAGTGCAGAGATGATGAAAGTAACTGTAAATAAATTAAGCCATAGATTTACTATTTACGCGTACGTTTAGCTTTCCAGGAAATCGACCTATGAATTTCGATTTGTCACCTTTCCCAAGAAGTTTTTTCTTATTGGGAACTTCAGTGCTCATCACATTAAATGAATCTATAATAAGATCAAGCCCGCATGCACAGGGTTTAAATATCTACTAAATGCGAGCAATTTAGACCTCATTTTGAGCTCCCTTACAACCTAATTATTTGTCCTATAATGATTCTTTTACCAATTCAAATCTTGTTATTGTGTCCGAAAATACTTTCAGTTTTATATCCATGACAAATATCCCTGGTTATCCCTATCTTGCCTCAGGCCATTACATTATAGTAACTGACACTTGTTTAGCTAAAGAACATGAAATGCTATAAAGAAAACAAAAAGAAATGAAATGAATTTGAAAATGAGTTCTAACTACAGACATTCAAACCATCTAGATATTGCCTTTGTTAAATTTGTTCTTATATTACTCAAGCCACAAAAGACATCGATCCGCAGAGGAAACATTAAAAGATATAAAAGCCTTTGAACTTACGATTCAGATATCCTAACGAGAAAGAATACTGCTGTTTGCAAATTGGCAGAAGCAGCAAAGGGTGCAGAGCACGTTCTTGATTGGGGAAGTTAAAGTGCTTAACTCAGAAAAAAAAAAAAAAAAAAAACTGGTGTAGAAAAGCGCGGATGTTTCGATGATTTTATTTCTAAGATTAACTATGGGTATGAGGGGAAGAAAGGTAGTTGATTTCGTTAATAGGAATAATATAATGCAACGAAGCCACCAATAAACCTATCTATTTCTCTAATAAGGAGATTTCAGATGGTAGGGGTATTGCAGAGAATTTTACAGAATAGTTGCTAATTTTTAACATTTCAGGAAGGGACAAATAAACTTTGAGGAAAATTAAAATCTTATAATGCTAAGAATGACCTCGGGCATCCAGTCATCAATTCTAAATTTGAAATGGCAGAGCTGAAAGAAGCTATAATGACATTTAAAAAGACAAATGGCTCAGGCCTTGATAATACACCCTCCGAATTAATAACATATTGGGTTATATTTTTCTCGATGAGCTCTGCTTGATCTTTACAATCGAAGTTCGTGAGAAAGAGAGTTCCTCAATTTGCACTAAAGCTAGAATTGTTACAATTTAAAAAAAAGAGCAAATGCATGTTCTTTAATATTTCCAGACCTATATTACTGACCAATGTCGCAGAGAAAACTACAAAACATGTGGTGAAGTCCAGACTAAGTATTTGAAACGTAACAAACTTCTGTCGTCTTCTCAAGCTGACTTTTGAAAGCACTTAAAAAGCCTAGCAGACTGTTTTCCTTAGTCAATACATCAAGGACATTCTGGAAAAGCAATACTCTTCCTTGGATGCATTTGTACACCTTACGTTATCTTGCGACAGAGTCTGGTACTTAAATCTTATATCCGCAGATCGAAGGCTATTGTCATAATTGAGAACAACTTCGGGTGGATCAACAACGTTATTACTCAAAGATTTTATATGATCTTATATGGAAAATGAAAATCAAGTCTTAAAAAAAAACTGAGATTTTTCTACTTCAGGTTTAGCTATTAGCCTAGTGTTGCTCAATAATTATATTAACGAGCTTTCAGATCTGCTTGTCAGTGACTTCTATTAAAAGAGATTTTTCTGCTAGCTAGTTGGTGACCTGGTGCAATGCACTGAAAAACCGTGAACAGAATTTGAATATTAAGTAAAATAACACTTTAAAAGCTTTGTGTAACTTTTGTTGGTCAAATAATATGATTTTAAATCTAGACATGACATGCTGTCAGCTTTTTATTTCAAATAGAGGAGGTTTTTATCTCTTGTCTAACATACCTGGATTGCAACATCTCTTCCAGTAAAAAATCCACTTACTTGGTTTGTGATCTGAACTTTCGTTTATAATGGAAAGAGGATGAGGTTGTTATTAGGAAGAAGATGGCACAGAGATCGCCAATTTTGTAAATGGGCAGTAATAGCCATACTTTTATTGTTATTTATAAGATGTATGCTAAGTCCCTCCTAAATTAGTGTAATGAAATTCTTAAAGACTTTAGGGAAAACTATCAATAGCTTTAACACTGAACGAAACCAAGCTCTTCACTCGATTACTGGAACAATTGAGACTCTTCTTATTTTTGTCATGCAGTTGTTGACTAACCTATGCTCATTTCAACACGGTATTCGAAAAAGAGGCTATGATTTTGCTAAAGAAGCTTGGGAGATTCCCTCATAGCGACTATTGAAGAAAGTATAACTTGAAAAATCCCAGAAACTTAACGACTGATAGGATTCAAACAAGACAGCTACCTTATTGTGGAAGATCTTAAAGCTACTGGAGAGTATCACATTTTAATCGGACCATGGTGTCGCCTAGATGCAAGCGACATCCAAATAAATATTGACTTAACAAGTAAATAATAAATCTCATAAATGTTAACAAGTAAGAATTTTGCGGCTTTTCAGCTCATTCATTTGCACTGAAAATCACCGAAAGCTGCTTTCCTGATGTCTGTGGTTTCCCATATATACTCAAGCGAAAGCTAGTGTACACAGGAAACCTTTTAACAGTTACAAATCAATTTGCAAAAAATAAATATAATAACTTATAAATGGAAATAAAAACCCACTAGTTTTGATGGTGAATTGGGATAAATTCAAATGACACTATGATTGCGTTGCTGTTGTAGGACTTCATGCTCTAAAGTTGTCATCTTCTCGGACTGTAGGTCTTTTCTTGAGGTTTATGTCATCAGGGGCAGGGAAAAGAGAACAGAATACCAGAATTTTGACGGGGATGTTACAAATATTGCTTCCACCCACTACCGTACCTACTTGACTCACAGTCGGCCTGCAGTAAAAGCTGGCCCAACGAGATATTTCACGGGTACATTTTTCAGAATTTTCTTCTGGAAACGTACTTATGAGCAACACTCCTTCTGAATACTCTTACCGAGCACTGCAGTGGATGTCGGCTGATTTTAGAGTATACGGGAATGAGTTAGCTTATTTCTTGTTTAAAAAAAAATCTGAAAGTTTTCAGATTTTAAATGTCGTCCAAAAAGGCGTTTTTTTACGTTTTGTGTGCTACCTTTATTTATTAAATATCATGTTCTTTGCACTTAAACCATAAAATTCAGTTCAATAGCAATGTCGCAAAATAATTTTAAAATGAGCATATCTTTAGAATTTCCGATACACAGTTCCGCGCGCTAGAGAACAAAAAGAGTTTTTCCCCCGTAAAGTGTTGCCATTGCTCGCTTTTAAATCGTTGAGTTTGTTACTCAAAAATTCGCTAACGTTTTACAAAATATGAAATTTATAATAAACCCAAATTCCAAATTTCAAATTTGGTCTTCCACATGCCCATATTCGTAGGAGGATTACGTCATTCAAAATTCGATAACTTTATGTACCGTTGTTTTATCACAATGCGAGAAATATACATACATTTATGAAGATTTTTCATTATTTAATTTCTTCAAATATAATGCAGGATTCTAACGTTTGGTGGCAACAGTTTGAAAAGTGAAACGGACATTTCTAGTGATTCAACGCAAAATGAAAACAATAGTCCTTCAGGGACAAAGCCCCTTTGGACTAAAAAAGAAAAGCTTGCGAAATTTTATGATTCATAACACAAACGTGTGAGTAAAAGCTATGGGAAAGGCTCAACGATATTTTCTGCACAAGGGATATAAAATTTCAGATTCTCTTCTTGCTACATCTACGACCTCATTCTGTCTTTTGCCTTAATGATATGGACATAATTGCCTTAATGATCTTCTCTTTAACATTTGACTCACGCATTCTCCATGTGCTCTTTTTGTGGTTGTGGACATCTCATAGATAAATAACATTTAGGCACGAGCTCTACAATTAGTAGATTTAGTCCTGTTATCCGAAAATAATAGGAAACAAGGCTGCTAATGTGCCAAAAGCCAGACTTTTGTAAATAAATAAATAT